ATTCTGTACTCTAAAAGCAACATTCTTTGTACGTCTGAAATGAATGTTACACAATACACTACTTAAGATCCAAGACTTTCTAGAGATTCATTTCCTCCTGCTTTTTTCAACTCCACAGCTAGTGATAAATCTAAAAAACTTGCTTCATTTTCTCCCATTACAATTTTAACAATTCGATCAATTCCTTCTCGTCTTTTCTAACCCATCCCCTCATCAACATACCAAAATAAAAGCGAGGGAGCTAATCCTACAGAAGATCAAAAGGTATCGCTGTAAGCCTTAAAAACAACTAGGGACCAATAGTCAAAGCACTAATATACATTTGGAACTAAAGTGACCCCAAAGGTGAACCAGAACAAAGTCCAGTAGCTTCCCAAACAAAATGAAAACTGCCCTAAATTGCTCATGTATTGAAAAGCAGAAAACATTTATAAACAGAGTTTGGTATCTCCCCTATCAGCATTAAATCAATCCTAACATTCTACAGACATTAATCTTGGCAATTTTTCTAAGATTTTCAGAAAATATCAGTCAATACATCAAAAGGTGCTCACCCACATTCAGCTCAACTATCTGATGTATTTAATTTCTTATATCCAGCTTCAGGAACAACTCCAGCTTGTATTGTTTCAGCAAGAGTGAGGAATTTTTTGGAAAATTTCTTTCTATATTTGCCCCCTCCCAGTCTCGATTTACATTAAATTTAAACTAGCTTGCATGTTGTATTAATCCTTTCATTTCATTATCGACTATAAATTCCCTTCCTACAAGTTGGAGGTCAGTTAGTGGTTACAAAGGCACTTTTTCGTTTTTATGCTCTGACTATCTGCAACCTTTCCCAATCTACCTAATGATCTCTATTACATGCATTTCCTCTGATCAACAGTGCTACACATTTCAATAGAAAATAATTTCCTTTTCTATTCTTGATCAGCCTGCACTAAGGTTTTTGGGTCCAGAATTCTGAAGGGTCACTGGACAGGAAACATTAACTGTTTTCTCTCTACAGATGTGCCAAATCTGAGGTTCTCCAGAAACGTCTGTTTGTTTCAGATTTCCAGCAATTTTAAAATTTCGAGTAAGGTTTCTTCCTATTCTATTGATCATTTCAAATATTTTGCTCCAAGTTTCTCCAAATCAAATACTGCATGAGCTGTATTTTGTATGCCCGTTTTTATTATTTTCTAGAACATTTCTCCCATTTGATCCTCTTTCATCCAAATTATCCACTTTAATAATATCAACATTTTCTTCATTAATAGTCTAGCCCATTTGCCCATGTTCCTTCATTGCATTTTTTTTGGCATTGATAGTACCTTTGTGTGTTCTTTCTGATCCAGCTATTCCTTACTCATTCCAATTTTTCCCAGCACTCCTTCCCACATTAAGGAGATGCGCACCAACAAAAACAAACATAGGACTAAAGATTCGGCATCCAAAAGCATTTACCTTTCGTAAAAAATTAGATTGTCAGCACAAATAGAAATGAATTTGTATGGCTTGACAGATACAGTAAGATGACCTGATTATTCAAAGAAGCTTGGCATTTCAGAAAGTCTGGGAAGTGACAAAGGTGTTGGGAGTAGTTCTGTTAATTATCACATTATCTTAGAATGAAACTCATGAGTGGTTTTATCTTTAGCAGAATATCAGTTTTGCTAAAGAAACAGCACAGGTACGAAGTCACTTACGGGGTGGGTTGATAGGCACGCTAACAGTAATCAAATTGTAAGACGGTGTACAGCAAGAACTAACAGGAGTTAATTATAATCACAGGCAATTGTGTGTTTGTAGACTGGATCAGATTGGCAAAAGTACAATTTCTTAAAACAGCACATCCCAGAATGATTTGGAGACCAGGATATTAAATTTGACAGATGCAGACATGACATAGAAAGGAAAGAAAGCAAGTCTTGCACACTGAATCCCACCAGCTCATGGAATGTCCTATCTCATGTACCCAAGATCTACTTGAGAATCACCAACGATCTACAGCAGAAATCCCCAATGTAGACAATCCTCAATTTGAAAAGCTGCAGCAACACATTCAATACTTACAGCCGTGTATGTTTGATAATTGAAACAAAACAGATGTGTAGGCTTAAGTTTTCAGTAAATGGCAGGTTAATCAAATTTTTGTATCTGTGAATCCTGATTATAGAGTAAAAGTCATTTGCTTTTAAAAAAATGAAATGACTTATTTAGGTAAGCGGTCATTCCTCAAAGCCGGACAGCTACATACCAAACTGTTGCTTCCATTTGTTACAGGAAGCTTGACAAGGAAACCACTACCTCTGCAATACTCCACCAGATATGACTCTCCCAAATTTCTAGTCATTGGCTCAAACCAATATCATCAGTGCTGGACTTGAATAGGGCATGAAAATCCAAGTGGACAAGTAAACTGACAAGGGTTGACCAAGCTTTCAGCATAATTATGAACTAAGTAGTTAGAATTAGAAGCATTAACCAGTTACTTGGACTTAGAAGTTAAGAATTTTTTTTTTTCCCCCCAGTGTCATGCACTGAATTTTTGTTTCTTGCCTTTACAGGACTTCAAAGAAGTTAACTTGCTCAGAACATATGCATACCTCCCTTGACAACTATTACCACCTCATGCCTTTCATTGATTTTTTTTTTCCCTCCTCACTTTTTTCCTGGTAAACTATATTTTGTATGTTTAGGTCCTAAAGGAAATGTGCATTGCTTCATGACAAGCATTTAATATTGCAACGAACACAGTCAATTCCTGGTCGATGTTTTTAAAGCTTTCAACAGAAGTTGGCAAGAAAACCAAAATCAGATTCTCACATTAACTGTTGTTGTTAAATGGTTCGTGTAACTAGGTGTTCTTTCCTTCTTTAAATATGTCATCACTGCTCTCAAAAACTAACCCTATTCAGTGCACAATGTAGCACTGAAAATTAGTGCTCTTTTATCTATAACTTCATGCTCAACTACCTCCCATTCAAGCTTCCACTCCTGCATAGTTTCAAATATTTCTTAAAGTCACAAATGACATGATACACGTCTGCACGTTTGAAACTAATGGCAATTCATTCTTCTTCAATGTTCTCGGCCAGTCTCTGACTTTGGATACAGTTGACCACACGATCCTCTTCCAATGCCTCTCCACTGTTCATCCAGCAAGATGGGACGGCTCTCACCTGACTCCATTCTTCAGATTCAGAGTATCACTTGGAATGGTTTCACATCCCATTCCCACACTATTGCCTCTAACACCCCCAATAACTGCTTTGGTTCCACTTCCTACATCTCAAGCTACATGCTACGTCTTGCCAGCATCATGTGAAAATACAAGCTGATCACACTCAGCTCCACCTCACCACCATCCCTCTTGACTAAGCATTCCTACTAAAATTTTCAGTCTTCTCATCTAACATCCTCTGGGACCTCTAATTTCAGATTCCAGAAATATCCATAATCTTTTCAGCTATCTCCTTTAGAACACTGAGGTGTAATCCATCCAAACCAGCTAATTTTTCCACTTTTAGCTTCTCCAGGCCCTTCGCCTCAGTGATGGCTACTACACCCCTCACTTCTGCCCCCAACTCAAGTTCTGGTACACCACTGGTGTCTTCCAACATAACTGATGCAAAGTAACTAATCAGTTCTCCTTATTTTGTTTTTGCTCCCCATTACTACTTCTCCAGTCTCATTTTCCACCCTTGCATCTTTTTTTGTGTATCCAAGAATAAATCCTGTAAATTTTCTTTTACATTATAGCTAGCTTACCCTTATTTTTCATCTTCTCCTCTCCACCGCCTCCCCTTACTTGTTTCAGTGGTCTACATATCCCCTTCTCTTGTCTCCCCATAGCATCTGTACCCCAGAACACTAAGCTCCCGGTCCCGTCCCTCCCTCAGCCATGTTTCTGTAAGAGCTATGATATCCCAGTCCCATGCTACCATCCGTACTCCAAGTTCAGCTGCCTGTCAGGCCTCCTGCATTGAAACAAGTACATTTTAAATTCATCAGTCTTCCCTTGTTCACTACTGTGATCTTGCCTGCCTTGGCAATTTAACTTGCTCTTTAACTTCAGTACCAACCTCAACCTTCTCTTGTCTCACTACTAAGGTCACTGCTGCTCCCAAAACCTGCCAGGCTAGTTTAAACCCAGAGTAGTTCCAACAAAACTCCCTGCCAGGATATTGGTCCTTGGTATATGATCTGGAAAGAGAAGAGCTTCCCGTTAGAGGAGATACTAAGTACTCCAGTTTGATGCTTTCCTAATAAAGGACAACACTTTGGTTATTCAGCCTGGAAGGTACATTGTGATGACTGGGTCAGATGCCTTGATCCTCAGGACAGAAGAATAGTTGGGTTTCAAAACAAGAGCCCCGTGCTGGTACTAGAGCCTCTGCCACATTTGTTACAGGAGGAAGACCATGGGCTAAAAAGATGCACGACTTGCTGACCTCAGTTATCTCCATCCAACTGAGACAGCCTCTCAAGTTCATGGATACCAATGTCAATATCCATCATTAATTATTCTTCATTTGCAAAAGATGTAGTAGCATTTTCTATGTTTGTGTTGATTTCAGCATCCAATGAGAGATTTCTCATGGGTTTGGAGTAGAGATACATTAAACTATCGATTGCTCCAGTGTCATCTTGTCCATGCTAATAAATTGAGGCATGGCAACATACTGGACCAAGACATCAGTCTTACTAATGCTGCTGATTAAACCAAACTATTTACCAGTATGAAGGCCCATTATTACTACTCAATACTCAACGGTATAATGCCACACCAGCATAAGTATATGACGACAGTTTGGTTCATCTTCATGTTAGATCATCGTCAAATAAGACTAAGCAGTAACCTGTATTTTTTGCCATGTAAGCCAACATGTTTTAAATAACGAGAAGGTCCACACTGCAAGCACTGTGTAACTAAAATTTATGATACCATTGAAATTACAATGAGTATATCTCTCAACAGCAGCCACCTATCAAATCATGTATCAAATGCATAAAGGATGAAATTGAGCAAACTTTTTTTAAAAAATCAATAGATGAAAAATTTTGCACAATGTGACCCCAATCAGTTCAGCTTTTTGCAACTATTGATGGACTTAGGATTTATTTTCTAAAAGCATAGAATGTAACTCCAGGCAATAAAGACACAGGCACACAACTCCAACATACAGTCAATACTACAAAGCTGATGGCAGCAATGCTTGAGCAATTGGGAGACTCCAAACTATTCCAAAATTCCCTATAATTCGTAATTATCCACAGCTTGAATTTGGTTTTCTCAAAGGGTCACTTTTCTTGCGCAGCACAAAAATGTGCTCATCTGGTTCACCATTATGCTCATTCTACTGCAGTCCTGAAATTACAAATCTTCCATTAAACACACAAATGTGTCTCTGCACAAAAACCAAACTTCAGCAGGACTTGAGGTGCAACTCATCCGCTTTACTTCCATATTTGGAAGGATTGGAAACCCAGGCTTGGCATCCTCCATTCAGTTTCTACATGGCATCACTTTCAATTTCTTTATCTCACTGATGTTATGAACCCAACCAAAGGTTCTCAGAGAGAAAACAACATATGTGGTTTCATTCATCTTTCAAGTGCAGTTACATTGTCATTCTGCTCCAAGTATTTTTTTTTTGCCTTTTAAAATATACCCAAAGAGGAGCTCAAGACATACAGTACAAAAATCCAGTACAAATTACTTCGAGTTACACTCACATTGTTTTTCTTCCTTTGTTGATTAACAGCTGCCTTTAGAGAATCTGTTTCTCGGAGCAAAGATTCAATCTCCTGATCTTTTTCTGAAAGTCTAAAAATAATTACAGTTTGAATATTGGCATAGCATTCCTCCTGCAGAAAACAGTTCACATTTTCAAATGTAGGCACTCATTTTTACATTTGACATCAGTGTCACAAATCAGCTCTCTGAAGTAACCTAGCAGGCACCAAAACAAATGAAGAATACATTTATTTGTAAAAGGAACCTTTCAACTGACAAGTAATAATTTACTACATTTATGTAATTAAATCATTCATTACTTAGTTAGAACATAATTATCCTGGCACCTGGTATGTGCATGGAATAAATTAAGTCAGTGTCTGATGAAAAGGAGATTACTCAAAATAGATTCTGATTGTGTAACTGGTCATAAAGACGACATTGCTCAAAGACAAAATATAAAATTTGTGCCTTACAGCTCACTTACACATTCAGCAGCACTTCACCCTTCAGTAGTGCAGAGTCCTGTTACAAAGAAATTTAAAAAAAAAAAAAATTTATGACCAAATCCTAATGCTTGACATACGAGACTACTCATCTCCACATTGACAAAGTCAGGTTCATGACAAAGTTTATTTGATGCAAACCATACAAACTGCAAATAAATCATCATGCTTGGGTGCACGTTTAGTCATTTACACTCAAAACATTGAACTGTTTAATGAGTACAGAATTTCTATCATATTGGACTTACAAAAGAAAAGCATAGGAGGATTAGGAACAGGAGTCGGTCATTCAGACTGCCAACCCTGCCCTGCCACTCAATACAATCATGGCTGATTAAACACTTCAAATCATTTTACTCTTCCTATCCCCAACAGGTGGGCAAACATTCACATTTTGGGGATGTCAGCTATGTACAAGTTCGAGCAACACTTTTGGCATTTTCAGGTGATGTGGATCACTTGGTTGGCGGGGGATGGAGGAGGAGGAGGAGGAGGAGAAGAAGGAAGGAACACTTTTCATTAAGTGCATGAAACAAAATGTCAAGCATCAAAAGATCTTTATTTTCAAATTTACTTATGCTCTCGGGCATCCCTGGCTGGCCAGCATGTATTGCCTGTCCTTAGTTATCCTTGAGAAGGTGGTGGGGAGCTGCTTTCTTGAACCTTTGCAGTCCACGTGCTGTAGGTAGACCCATGATATCATTAGAGAGGGAGTTCCAGTATCAAGACCCAGAGACAGCAAAGGAAAATGACTATATTTCCAAGTCAGGAAGGTAAGAGGCTTGGAAGGGAATTGCAGGCTGTTTTCCCATGTAATTGCTGCCCTTATCGAACACAGAACAGAACAGTACAGGCCCGTCAGCCCATGATGTTGTGTCGAACTTTTACCGTCAAAAAAGGTCTACCTAACCTCCACCCCTACCTTATACTATCATCCATATGCCTATCTAATAGCCACTTAAATGCCCCTAAATGAGGCCGACTCCACTACCCTCTCCGGCAATGCATTCCACGCCCCTACCACTCTGAGTAAAGAACCTACCTCTGACGTCTTCCTATATCTAACTCCACTCACTTTAAAACTATGCCCCCTCGTAATAGCTACCTCCAACCTAGGAAAATGTCTCTGGCTGTCTACTCTACCTATACCTATGATCATTTTGTACACCTCTATGAAGTCACCTCTCATCCTTTGTCGTTCTAAAGAGAAGAGCCCTCGCACTCTCAACCTTTCCTCGTAAGATCTTCCCTCCATTCCAGGCAACATCCTGGTAAACCTTTTCCAACACTTCCACATCTTTCCTGTAATGAGGCGACCAGAACTGGACAATACTCCAGATGTGGCCGAACCAGGCTTTTGTATAGGTGGAGCATAACTTCACGGCTCTTGAACTCAATCCCTCTATTAATGAAAGCTAACGCACCATACGCCTTCTTAACAACTCTATCCACCTGGGTGGCAGCTTTCAGGGAACTGTGGACATGAACCCCAAGATCCCTCTGCTCCTCCACACTGCCAAGAATCTTTCTGCTAATCCGGTATTCTGCTTTCAAATTTGTCCTTTCAAAATTAATCCCCTCACACTTTTCAGGGTTAACCTCCATCTGCCACTTGCCAGCCTAGCTCTGCATCCTATCAATGTCCCTTTGTAACCTAGAACAGCCCTCCACACTATCCACAACTCAATCCACCTTCGTATCGTCCGTAAACTTACTAATCCACCCTTCCACTCCTTATCCTTCTAGATGCACGTGTTCGTGGGTTTGGAAGATGCTATGAATCTTATCAGTAGTGCACACTGCTACTACTGAGCAGTGGTGGAGGAAGTGGACATTTGTAACTAGAGTGCCATCAAGCAGGCTGCTTTGTCCTGGATGGTGTCAAGCTTAAAGTGTTGTTGGAGCTGCACCCATTCAGGCAAGTAGGGAGTATTCCTTCACACTCCTGACTGGTGCCTTGGAGATAGTGGACAGGTTTTGCAGAGTCAGGTGGTAAGTTACTCACCACAAAATTCCGAGCATCTGACCTGCTCTTGAAACCGCTATTTATTCAGCAAGTCCAATAGAGCTTCTGGTCAAGAGTTTATGAATTTTGGTATGTCAATTTGATAGCCATTATAGTTTAAAAAAAATCTATTATATTACACAGTTCAACATGGAATACAAATAAATTGTGCAAGCTTAAAATAATTAAATAATACCAAGACAAATAAACTTGACTACCATTCATCTTAAAACTTACTTGTTCATTGGTTTTCTCATGCAATTGTTGCATTTGGATTTTCAGTCCTGCATTTTGATACTGAAGATCCTTTATTTAAAGCAAAAAGGGAAATTTAAATGATAATACAAAATACTCGTAGCTCAAACTTAAATGCAGTTAAGTGTCCACTACTCAGATTACCTGCAACTTTGTTACATAGCTAGCAATTTCTTCTTTACTATCTGACAGTGCAGCCTTCAAGTTATTAATTTCTTGTTCTTTTGTTTCAATCCTGCAAATAAAAACAAGGTCAGATAATCTGCATATTACATTTGGAATACAAACTCATTTGAAATATACTTACGTAATTTGAGATTCTTTAATCAGATTTGCTTTAGTGGAAACCTAAGATGTAGAAATTCACAAAACAAGTTGAAATCCATTGTATAACACGGATGCTTTTCCTAGCTTAGAAAAGCATGATTACCTGCAAACTGTTTTACAAAAAAGAACATTTGGTAATATTACAACCTGGTGGGGAAAAAAGGGGACTATGGTGCAAGGATAGGGGCAGGCAAGCAAAGATAACTGATGATACGCCAAGAAATAGGACCTAGGGGTGTGAGGGAGGGAAACAAACATGGAGAGCTGCTCAATATCTGAAATTGTTAAACTCAAATGTTGAATGCTGAAGGTTGTAAGGTACCTAAGCAGAAGATGAGGTATTGTTCCAACAGCTTGCATTGAGCAGCACTGCTGCAGTACAAAGATACAAATGTTGGCATGGAAGAGTGTGGTCTGTTGAAGTGGCAAGCAATCAAGAGCTCGGGGTCATTTACAGACAAAGCATAAATGTTGGCAAAGCAAATCACAATCTACATTTTGGTCTTCCCAGTGTACACAAGACCATATTGTGAGCAGCAAGTACATTATACGAGATTGAATGATGTGCAGGTAAATTGCTGCTTCACCTGGAATGGGTGTTTGGGGCTTTGGATTATGAGGCGAGAGGATGTAAAGAGGCCTGCTGCACCTTCTATGACTGCAGATGTGCAAGCTAAGTGGGTTAGCCATGGGGAATGTGGGGTGACATGTCTGGCACAGGACAGAAGTTCATAAAGAACCAGAACTCTGCAAAATTTGAAAATAAAACTTGATTCCAAAATAAGCTTTTTGATTAATAAAAGCAGTTTATGAAGGTGGACCAGAACAATACAGCTAAAAAATACAGGTCAGCCAGACGTGTGGTTTACTGCATACTATTTTGAGAATAAACAATTGTATTACACACCAGGTCAGCTTCTTCAGAAGTAATTTAAACAGATGTTTCTTTTCATTGGATACTAACTCAATAACAGCAGTCTACATTTGCACAATTTTAAAACAAAATATTTCCCAAATCCCTTGGCAAGGCAATGGAACAAACACTAAGTTACAGAACATGACTGCTAATAAAGTCATTGACAGTCAAAGAGGAGCTTATCTTCAAAGCAATTTTGGATACAGAGTAACGTAGCCACCCTAGAAGGACCAGAGAGAGAGAGCGCGAATTGCAAAATTTAGGGACAAGATGACAAATTTCACCACTGATTGGGTCTCCTGTCTCCGAATTCAGAGACCCAAGAACACAGGATGCAAGCTGAGTGATAGTGCACATTGGGTTAGGTCCTCAAATCCTATTATAAAAAGCTTCTCAGAATTTCAACAAGAAGCTGTCAATCTGCACTCCTAGAAAACAAATGTAAAAATTCACTATGGGCCAATTACCTGCTCTGCTGTTAGAAGTTGAACATTTTCCACTTGCTTCTTGAGCAAATCATGATCATCTTGCAACTCCTTTATTAAAAACCAAATCATACCATTATGCCATGGAAAATGAACGACAATAAAAATAAAAAAAGTCCAGCTAAATAGCACATGACAACTTCATGGCAACACAGCACTGCAGATTAGATAGATAAATACCACCATACTTCTTTGCAAATCCAAGAAAAATCAAGTACCTTAAATCTTTGCTCATTATGTTCTAACTTAAGCAGCTCCTTTTCCAACTGGTCTTCAACTTCTTTGATCTTTGTATCCTTTTCAACAAGACTGCAGAAGAAATTATGCTTAGCAACATGCATCTTTAGAAAGGTTTCTTTGAATTATTTTGATATAATACTTACGTTTCTTTCAGTTCTGCCACCACAGATACAGAGTCAGCCTAAAAAAAGATAAAATCAAATGATCTCAAAACAACACTGCATAATGGAGAGTATTTCTATAAAAGGACAAGATATTTAGACAATTTACCAGATGATCATGACACAATGATCAATTCAGCAGCTAAAGAAAATATTTGGTCACATACAGGCAAGAGTAAAATATTCATCTTGAGGTGCAGAGACAGTATTTTCTAAGATATCAAGTGAAATTTACTTTAGTCAAGTCTCTAGCCCACATGGTGTACTCTTCCAACTTGCATAATAATTCATCCTCAAATTTATACATCAGGTGGGGCTAAATCAAGTCAACAAAATGAATGCAGCAGTCCTCCCAGAAAAACTCAATGAATGACTGCCAACATGCTTTGCCAATACTCAGATCAAGAATAGTCACTTGGGTAGAACATTTGTATTCTACTTAAAGAAGAAGTCAATGCTTCGAGGAGGAGAAGGAAGGGGCATTAAAAAAAAGTACAAGAACAAATAATTTATCAATGTTTCAGACTCAGTTGGGGCATTCCACTAAAATCTTGAAACACTGTAGAACTTGAATTTTTTGTTTTTGTGGAATGATAATTGTCAAAAAGTTAGCCTAGCCAATTCTCCCAAAGTACTATATATTTAGAAAACAGCTTGTAAAATACTTGGAGCTATGTGGCAGAAGTAGGTGGCTTTATTCACATTGTCAGAAGAAAAGTGTGCAGAGAAAATAGTTATAGCTATCTTTGATACTTCAGTTCAGTCCCACCTCGGGCGGAATCCTACAATTTGTTCTTGCTGGTGCCAGGGCATGGGGAAGGAAGATTTTCGTCAATAAAAGCCGAGTTTACTTACACGAGAATGGAAATGTTGAAAAATCCCACAAGTGTCATTTTCCAAACAGCTCAGTTTTCTTTTTCTGGTTTATAAATGCAGGATTACAGTTCACCTTCACATTAAAAAAAATTCATTGGGAGAATCTCAATCTTGTGACTAAAAAGTTCCTGATTTCTTTTCCCAAAATCAGCTCTTGCATTTTTATATTCTAATAATGCAATCTTCAGCCAGAAGCGCTAAGTGAATGATCTATCTCTGCCTCCTCCAGTGAGCCCCAGCATCACACAAACCAATCTGCAGCCAATTGAACTTACTTTGTCTGATATCAAGAAACAGTTTGAGGCACTGGATACTGCCAGGGTTATGGGCCCTGGCAACATTCTGGCAATAGCACTGAAGACTTGTTGTCCAGAACCTGTCCCTCCCCAAGCCAAGTCGTTCCATTTATGCGGCAACGTAGAAAATTACCCTGGTATGTCCTGTACACAAAATGCGACAAATCTAACCTGGCTGATTACTGATGATTGAGAGTAGACTGATAGGGCAGTAAAGTGATGGAACGTGTCATCAACAGTGCTATCAAGCAGCACCTACTCAGCAAAAACCCGCTCAGTGACACCCTGTTTTGGTTCTGCCAGGGCCCCTCAGCTCCAGTGCACATTACAGCCTTGGTTCAAACATGGACAAGAGAGAGATGAATTCCGAAGGTGAGCTGAGAGTTATAGTCCTGAATACGAAGGCCACATTTTACCAGGTGCGGCTTCAAGAAGCCCTAGCAAAAGCTGGTATGAATGGGAATCATAGGCCAAACTCTGCACTGGTTTGTGTCATACTTGGCACAGAAGATGGTCTTGATTAGTGGAGGTCAGTCATATCAGCTCCAGGGCATCTCTGCAGAAGTTCCTCAGGATAGAGTTCTAGGCCCAAACATCTTCAGCTGCTTCAACAAGGACGTTCCCTCCAACACAAGGCCAGAAGTGGGGATGTTTGCCGATGATTGCACAGTATTCCTGACTCCTCAGATGCTGAAGCAGTCCATATTCAAAAGCAATAAGATCTGAACCATATCCACTTTCAGCTGACAAGTGATATTGGTGCCACACAAAATGTCAAGTAATGACCATGTCTAACAAGAGCAAATCTAACCACCACCTCTTGACATTCAGTGATCTATTACCAATAATCAAATGCTCCAGTACGAACATCCTGGGGGCTTACCATTGACCAAAAACTCAATTGAACTTGTCACAAACAGTGGCTGCAAGATCAGAACAGAGGCTAGATATGCTGTGCTTAGTGACTCACCTCCTGACTCAAGACACAAATCAGGAGTGTAATGGAATACCCCCAGCACCAACACTTGAAGCGTGACATGATGCAGGACAAAGCTGCCCGCTTGATTGGCATCACATCCAATGTGGAGTTGCAACTGCATGCTATCTACAAGATGCACTGCAGAAATTGAAAGATCCTTAGACAGCACCTTCCAAACCCATGACCACTTCCATCTAGAAGGACAAAGGCAGCAGATGCATAGGAATGCCACTACCTGCAAGCTGCCCACAAAAATCGGTCACCTTCCTGACTTGAAAATATATTGCCATTTCTTCACTGAGGCAGTGTCAAAAAATCCCAGAATTGCCACCCTAACGGTACTGTGGGTCTACCTACAGTTGTCCAAGGCAGCAGCTTGCCACCACTACCACCTCAAAGGCAGCTAGGGATGGACCATTATATGCTGGCCAGTCAGCCTACATCCCACAAGTGAAAGAACAGTTTTGGCTCCCCTCCCAACACAAGCTTCGTCCAACTCCTTCCCAACAAGAATCTCAGCCTTTTCATTCTGAAGTTTGACTTTCTAGTCCAGAACTCTAAATCTGTCCTATCAGTTTCTTCCACAGCAAACAGCAGTCACAGCCAAGTCTTACAGTTTAAAGCACCGTCTCTGTTTATCCATTAGTCTGTAATGCTGCTGCTACACTGTTTCAATATCTACGACTTTGGATCTGTCTTAATTAGACTTGCTCACAGATTGGTTTCCATTTAGTTTTAATAGTCAGTCTGAGGCTTCAGTATCTTTTCAACTTCGGCGTTTCTTAAGTAGAACCAAATGTCTTTTACAATGGAGAAAGGACACACCTGAGGTGTTAAATAAATCAAGCTTTATGAAGGAGGAGATTATGCTATCCAGGCAATTGTGCCAAGAGAAGTAAGTTGAAACACCAGAAGGATTTAAAGTTGATAAGAGAGATGCTGGTAAGGCTGTTTGGACATGATCTAGTTCAGTAGAATTCCCAGAATTACTGTAATCAATTGATAAGTTTGCTTTCACTTTGTTGTTTATTAGTTTCACCAGAAATAAATCTCAGGAATGTGTTACTCTGTTCTTTAACTAGACATTCAATTTTGAAGCTCTGAAGAAAATTCACCAGACTTGAAGTGTTAACTCTACTTTCTCCTCAAAGACGGGGCAGACCTGCTGAGTTTCGCCAGCAACTTTTTGTTTCAATTTTAAAGGACTAAGTTCAAAGTTTTAGCTCCAGATTATTTCAGATGAACACATGATGAGAAACAGACCATTTTGGTCTCTAGTCTGCACCAGCACTCAGCGAGATCATGGCTGATCCAACTGCACCCGACTCCACATTGTCACCTGTTCGCAAAAACAACTTTTGGCTCCCTTATTAGGGAAGAACCTACTTCTGTTTGATGTATCAATTTACCTCAACTACACTATCTCCGGGGAAGAAAGTTCCAAATGCTCATATCCTTCAAACAAAAATGAAAATTACCTTCACCATTGGTTTAAATGTTGGCTTTATCTCAAAACCATGTTCCCTTTTTCTCGTTCTGTTTCCAGTTTGGAAACATTTGACTCCAGAACTGACTTTCAATGTAAGGTTTCCCAGAGATTTCCAAGACTCAAGTAAAACAGGGAAAAGCAACAAGAGCTTAACATTCATCTCAAAAAATATATAGATTATGTGAAAGGCACAGAAAAATACACGTCAGCCCTGAGAGAAAAAAAAGCCTGAAGAGTAAAGTTGATAACAATACTGTCAGTTGACCCATGACTGCAGGACATGACAGTAAAAGCATAAGCTATCAAAAAGAAAAAAAAAGTTTTCAAAATTGGTTCAAGATTTAGAGACAGGGTTAAAAAAGCCTAGATTTCCACATTAAGTTGAGCCCAACGCTATATAATATTTAAGATACCAACGCTATATAATATTTAAGATATAACCAAGTTTATCAGATTCCCAGAAGAAATTGATCAAAAAAAACTTACGTGCTTACTGATGTCTAAACGCAACTGGTCAATCTGCAATTTCAATTTATCATTTTCTTGCAGAACGCCCTGTTAAAACCAAAAGGAAAATTCAAAACCAAAAAGCAACACTGCAGTTCCTTCAGAATACAAAAAAAGCAAATGTAAACATTACATTATTTTGAAATAGAGTTCTTGAGGGATACAGAATAGCTACACACTTCATTTTAGTTCTAATTCAGGCTGTAAATAAACAAATATCCAAGTTTTTGCATCTGGTTTATTCAGACAGAAAAATTCTGAGTGATAACTTGTTTCCAGGTACACAGAAGCAATTGATACAATTTTGAAGTGCTTTTCATGTCCACAAATCAAAATCAGAGAAATTTGATGCCTGAACTATCAATGGCATCCATATACAAACCAGTGAACACTATAAATTGACCCAAAATTTCTGAAGTATATGAATACCAAGTTAAAATTTGTTTGAAATTTGTATGTAGTGTTTATGCAAGACACTAAGTTTACAGCACGTCAAAGACTGTCAAAGCAAAGTTTTATTTAAAAAAAAGATAAGTTGAACTAAAAAATTAAAAGCACCAAATCTTGATTTTAAAATATCCAGTTAAGAATTTATAAATAAAGTTATATGGTTTCTCTACTGCCCAACATCCAAAGAATCAAGGCAGCAACTGATTTTTAAAATCAAAATAGAATGAAGCAACATAAAAGATTGAAGTCAATGTGATATGGCAATGCAATGAAGTGCCATAAGGGGTGTCACAGATGTGATGCAAATTCTCAATTTCAGAATGATGGTCAGATTCTCTGAAAGAGGCATAACATGCTACGGTGGTCTCACATTATCCCATTTAAGTTGAAAAAGCCACTATCCTTGTCAGACATCAGATTATCCATTTGTTTAAACAGAGAACGGAGAATTTTTTATCCACTTTCTCGTTTCTTTTTCATCCAAGGGTCAAATTAGATTGTTAGTAGTTCTGCTGTAACTGATTTGGTTACCTGAATTTCATGCATCTTGCTAGCAGCTGCTTCTCTACTGTCTGCTAATGCAGCTTTCAAAGAGGTCATTTCTTGTTCTTGCATACTAATTCTTTAATAAAAAAAAGAGAGAAGTCAGTGAAAGGACGTACTTTATTAACATGTCAATATACTGAAAAATACTTACACTTTCTCAAGATCATCCAGTTTAGGTGCAGTAGAAACCTATGGATCAGAATGGAGTTGCATTAAAATTCAGAGCTTCAATCTTGTATTATGAAGACTCATGCAACTTTACATTCATATAATAATCATTACAGACAATCTGCCCAAGTGAGAAAAAGGAAAAGGTGGTGTGCTGGTAGACAAAGCCAGCTCAATTATATAAAATGAACAAATTATGACTCTTCCATTATTCAACTCATTAGAAATCTGCATTAGAGCGAAAACATTGCGACAATTCATTACCTGTTGAGCATTTTCTGCTTGCTCGCTGAGCAGTTCCTTTTCCCTTTGTAAATCCTTTGAAGATTAAAAACACATTTTAGAAATATTGTGCTGTAAAAACAGTAATTGATAAAATTCAAATCACATAATCAAGAAATTACATGAACATGAAAACTTCATGCGTCATAGAATCCCTACAGTGTGGAAACAGACCATTTGGCCAATCAAATCCACACTGACCGACCGAAGATCATCCCACCCAGATCCACCCCTACCCTATTCCTGCAACCTTGCAGGCTGCAGGAATGCAGTGATTATTGTCATTCACGGCAAAAAGATGCAAGTATAGAAATCAAAATTCACCAACATGAACTTGGGCGATTACACTTTTTCCAAATACTCCAACCACTGTGTGAAACAAAAGATTGCTGAAACTAGAAGAAAGAATTTTGCAGACAGTTGAGATTTGTAATACACGGCCAACAACTAGTCAATAAGATCAGAAGAATGACAAGATACTAATGAGATGCTGGTGCTCAGATGGGTGTGTGGAGTAATGACAATGGACAAAAAGGATGGAGAAACCTGTTTAATCCGACAGAGCCCAGTGTTTCAAAGTATTGATATGAAGCAGCAAGTGAGGAACTGAAGCATACTCTACTTAATTGTGTTTCATTGGAAAACACTCCTCTAAAGGCAAACTAGCCGTAAAAAGGCAGGTCAACACTAAAATCAAAGCCTTATGATTATACAGCCCAGGCTAATGTAAATGCAGACTAACAGATTAGAAAATGCTCGGAGATAAAAAGGTTGTCACTTGAGCACACAGTTATGTTTTGAAATGATTGAGTTTTGTAACAAAGCATTAGCAAGTTTATTTATGTCAGTTCTACTGTTATGTTGAGCATTAATTTATTGCAGTCATCAACAATTTTTGCCTGTTACAATGGTTCTTGTAGTTAAAGAACATTGACAGATCCAAGTAGTCTGGAAAATTCCAAGCCCGGAGTTTTGGGGCATTTGGGACAATATTGTCCAACAGAAATTACTCAGTTGGTACCAGATTACTTTGGTGGAGATCAAAGTTAGTAAGATAAGAAGGACAAAGTATGATGAAAAGCAATGTGATTAACATTTCAAGAAACAATATCAGGAAGCGGTAGAAAGTGATATCAGTAAGGTTACCAGCAATTTTTTTTCCCCAAAATAGCAATTGGGCACAGGCTACCAAGACTGAGACTAACAATGTGTTGGCAAATCAATTAAAGTTTAGGAATGCCATGCAGAACTAAATGACTGGAAAAGATAAAATGGCAATTTTAAGGGATTGATACACAGAAAAAGACTTCAGTCACCACAGGAGAACAATGGACATGTGCCCAGTGAGAACAAAACTAGTATCTGAAGAAGTGGTCAGATAGAAAACCACTGCCTATGAATATTTTGTATGTACTTCATAGAATTAAGTATATGAAACATGCAAAAATAAATGTGCCTTGAAGAAGGGCATTGAAACAATCAAGATCTATAACTTGGAATTTGTAATACTCTAGTTGATTGACCACAATTTTGTTTGAGAGGCGGGTGGTGGTGGTGGTGGTGGGGAGTCAGTGAGAATGGTCAAAGGAATAAAAAAAGCAACTGAGAGGAGGCCGAAATAACATGGCAATTCATTGCAGAAAGAGAAAATAGGGAGATCAGTAATGGAGATGGGGCTGCCAGGAAGAAAGTGGAAGAGGAAAGCTTGAGACACGATGGAAACAATGCAGTGGCAAGAGACTTAAGTAGAATTCAAAGTAGAAAAGACGACTGTTAGGAGTAGATGGAAGGAAGAAGTAGTGAGGAATCAGCATTGTGGCAACTCCAAGCACTTTGTTCAAGTCACTTTACAAATAAGGGAGTTAAGGCAGTACCTGTATTATTTTCTCATTACTTTCTATTGTACATAACTTGGACTCCAACAGACTTTCAATGAAGTTAATTTTTTCATTCTTCTCATTAATTCTATATAGTTGAAGAAATCAGTATTAATGCATGTAAAAATTAGACCCTGAAATATATTATGATCACTCAATTATTTAATACTTACATTTCCTGAAGTTCTGCTACCATGGATTTAGAAGCAACCTAAAAGGTTCAAGGACCGAAACAAAAGTTGCATTACTTAATGGTGAAACCAATCACTAACATACTAGATAACATCTTGGGCAAATATGATGTTATTCAATTAAAGTCACTAAATTTTAAAAATACAGAAATTAACAAGTACTTCTTGATCTAGAAGGCCAACAGAAAATATCATTGCAATGGCATGACAGCCATGTCTCAGTTGGTAACTCATTCCTCTGACCACAAGATTCTGGATTCAAATCTCAATCCAGGGCTTGAGTGTGGAAAAACAAGATCACACTGAGGGAAGTACCATATTTCCATTAAATGGAGACCAAGCCAGCCTGCTCGGAGAATGTAAAGGATCCCAGAACACAATTTTGAAGAAAAGCAGGGAGCTATCAAGGTGTGATAACAAGGTGTAGAGCTGGATGAACACAGCAGGCCAAGCAGCATCAGAGGAGCAGGAAGGCTGACGTCTCGGGCCGAGACCCTTCTTCAGAAATGGGGGAGGGGAAGGGGGTTCAGAAATAAATAGGGAGAGAGGGGGAGGCGGATAGAAGATGGATAGAGGAGAAGATAGGTGGAGAGGAGACAGACAGGTCAAAGAGGCAGGGATGGAGCCAGTAAAGGAGAGAGTGTAGGTGGGGAGGTAGGGAGGAGATAGGTCAGTCCAGGGAGGACAGACAGGTCAAGGGGGCGGGATGAGGTTAGTAGGTAGGAGATGGGGGTGGGGCTTGAGGTGGGAGGAGGGGATAGGTGGGGGGAGGGGGCGGGGGGGGTTGGTTTTGGGATGCGGTGGGGGGGAGGGGTGGGAGGGCAGATTTTGAAGCTTGTGAAGTCCACATTGATACCATTGGGCTGCAGGGTTCCCAAGCGGAATATATGAGTTGCTGTTCCTGCAACCTTCGGATAGCATCGTTGTGGCACTGCAGGAGGCCCAGAATGGACACGTCATCTGCGGAATGGGAGGGGGAGTTGAAACGGTTCGCGACTGGGAGGCGCAGCTGTTTAGTGCGAACCGAGCGTAGGTGTTCTGCAAAGCGGTCCCCAAGCCTCCGCTTGGTTTCCCCGATGTAGAGGAGGCCACGACGGGAACAGCGGATGCAGTATACCACATTAGCAGATGTGCAGGTGAACATCTGCTTGATGTGGAAAGTCTTCTTGGGGCCTGGGATGGGGGTGAGGTGTAGGGGCAGGTGTAGCACTTCCTGCGGTTGCAGGGAAAAAAGTGCCGGGTGTGGTGGGGCTGGAGGGGAGTGTGGAGTGCGGAGTGCAGAGTGTGGAGTGGACAAGGGAGTCACAGAGAGAGTGGTCCCTCCGGAAAGCAGATAAAAGGTGGGGAGGGAAAAACGTCTTTGGTGGTGGGGTCGGATTGCAGATGGCGGAAGTGTCAGAGGATGATGTGTTGGATCCGGAGGTTGGTGGGGTGGTACGTGAGGACGAGGGGGATTCTGTTTTGGTTGTTATTGTGGGGAGGGGGTGCGAGGGATGAGTTGCGGGAAACACGGTCTCGACCACTGGCGGGGGGAAAGTTCCGGTCGTTGAAAAACGAGGACATCTGAGATGTACGGGAGTGGAATGCCTCATCCTGGGAGCAGATGCGGCGGAGGCGAAGGAATTGGGACTCGGGAATGGCATTTTTGCAGGAAGGTGGGTGGGAGGAGGTGTATTCTAGGTAGCTGTGGGAGTTGGTGGGTTTGAAATGGATAATCGGTTTCTAGGTGGTTGCCCCCCTCAGTGGTTGAGAACGCCCTCGACCGTGTCTCCCGCAACTCATCCCTCACACCCCCTCCCCGCAATAATAACCAAAACAGAATCCCCCTCGTCCTCACGTACCACCCCACCAACCTCCAGATCCAACGCACCATCCTTCGACACTTCCGCCATCTGCAATCCGACCCCACCACCAAAGACATTTTTCCCTCCCCACCCTTATCTGCTTTCCGGAGGGACCACTCTCTCCGTGACTCCCTTGTCTGCTCCACACTCCCCTCCAGCCCTACCACACCCGGCACTTTTCCCTGCAACCACGGGAAATACTACACTCACCCCCATCCCAGGCCCCAAGAAGACTTTCCAATCAAGCAGATGTTCACCTGCACATCTGCATCTGCTGTTCCCGTTGTGGCCTCCTCTACGTTGGGGGAAACAAAGCAGAGGCTTGGGGACCACTTTGCAGAACACCTATGCTTGGTTCGCATGAAACAACTGCATCTCCCAGTCGCGAATCGTTTCAACTCCCCCTCCCATTCTGCAGATGACGTGTCCATCCTGGGCCTCCTGCAGTGCCACAATGATGCTATCCGAAGGTTGCAGGAACAGCAACTCATATTCCGCTTGGGAACCCTGCAGCCCAATGGTATCGACGTGGACTTCACAAGCTTCAAAATCTCCCCTCCCCCTACCGCATCCCAAAACCAGCCCAGCTTGTCCCCACCTCCCTAACCTGTCCTCCCTCCCACCTCCTACCTACTAACCTCATCCCGCCCCCCTTGACCTGTCCGTCCTCCCTGGACTGACCTCTCTCCTCCCCACCTACACGCACCTTTACTGGCTCCATCCCCGCCTCTGACCTGTCTGTCTCCTCTCCACCTATCTTCTCTATCCATCTTCTATCCGCCTCCCCCTCTCCCTATTTATTTCTGAACCTCCTTCCCTTCCCCCATTTCTGAAGAAGGGTCTAGGCCCGAAACGTCAGCCTTCTTGCTCCTTTGATGCTGCTTGGCCTGCTGTGTTCATCCAGCTCTACACCTTGTTATCTCAGATTCTCCAGCATCTGCAGTTCCTACTATCTCTGAAGCTATCAAGGTGTCTCAGCCAATATTGATCTCTTAAATCAAAATCACCAAGAAAACCTAATCATCACCACACTGTTGTTTGGAGGTAATTTGTCAAGCATAAGTTAGCTGGTGCCTTTCCTAAATTACAACAGTGACTTCACTTCATAGGTACTTAATTGGCAGAGAAGCGCTTTGGTGATATTTGTCACCATGAAAAATCGATCAATTTTTCAAAAGGAGAAATGAAGCAACTGTATTTTTACTATCAAATAACATTGCAAAACCCAATTTAAACTGCACAATAATTAGGTCTGAAAAATCAACAAGTTGGACCAGTTCAACGAGATCCATCTCAGAGCTCTCACTTTCTACTATTCTAGTCATTAACTCAATGTTCATGTTATATCTTCTCAATTGTTTCATATTTGTACTAATGGGCAAAATAGAACATCCAGAAATATAAATGAACAGTGAGTGTGGATTATAAAAGGGAAAGTTGCTTGGCCAATCACTAAATTTGTTGATTGTAACAGAGAGAGAGAGTAGACAGTAGTAATTCACTAAAGGTCTTCAAAAAAACATATGCTCAGTAGAATCTCCTGCAATAAACTAATAAGGTCTAAGAACAGACAGTTAACGGTCACATGGTAGAATGGATCACCAGCTGGTTTTAGGACAGAGTGTGAAAATCAAGTGCAGTTTTTCAGAACATTAGAAATTGAGCAGCCATGCCCCACAAGGTTCAGTGCTGTTCTCTCAATTTGCAGTGATGTTTTGGCACTTTTGAATCAAACCTCTAAATTTGCAGATGACACCAAACCCAATGAAAGGGAGGAGAACATGAATACTGAGCAGGACATCCACTTCCAAGTGAATAAATGACAGTTAAACAAAGTTCAGCACAAATGGCAGCTTGTTTTACTATGAAAAATTGGGAACTCACTTATTTAGTAGGTGAAAGTTCAGGTCAGGTGAAAAAGAACAAAGTCATCAACAAATACAATAATCACTAAGAAGTGTGGCACAGTCTAACAAGAACAGTAAAGAAATCAAGCACTTGGATTTAGTTTAAGTGACAGAACAGTTAGTTTAACAGAAATGAAAAACAGGCAAGTTGTGTTATGAAAACATGGGCATCACTGGCTATGCCAGCATTTACTGCCTATCCAAGAAAATGGTCCAGAGTCGCCTTCTTGAAGAACTGCAAGCCTCGGTGTACAAGTATACACACAATGCTGTTAAAAAGGAGTTAAGATTTGACCCAGTAACAATGAAGGAGCAGGAAAATAGCTCCAAGTCAGAACGGCACTAATTTGGAGGGAAAGGCTCAAGCTTGGTTAGACCATAAAATACTGTATGTAATTTAGAACACGTTCTAAAGCTAACTAGCGACTGCAAACAACTCGAGTTGATAAAATGCAATGAGACTAGATTAATTAATTGCCCCATTTATGAAGCAGTTCCTGGACAGTGATTATAACATGACAAATTTCAAAGCCACTACGAAGGTGGGAAAAAAAGTGCAGTTAAGATTGGTATTTTATCTTATCATTAAGGGCAATCATAAAAGGCAAGATGACAAAGCTGACTAGGCTGAATTGCAAATTAGGTTAAGGAAGGAACCTTAGGTTTGAGGAAAGCGGTGGCATAATGGTCAAGTCACTAGACTTGCAATCCAAGCCCCCAGGTTAATGTAATGAGAAACAAGGGCTCAAATCCCTACCATGGGAAATGGTGAAATTAGACTTCAATAAAAATATGGCCTAATGACCATTACCTTGGCAGATTGTCATAAAAATGCACCAGGTTTATTAATGTCCTGTAGGACAGGAAATCTGCTGTCCTTGCCCAGTTTGGCCTACATGCAAATTCAGACTGGCAATGGCTCGACTCATTTTTGGGCAATTATGGTTGAGCAATAAATGCTTACAAACTTTGATTTACGTATCAGGTCAAGCAGATCCCCGTGTATCCAAGTTCCCCAGTCTCTCTCAACTTGAATATGCTGCTTTCTTGTTCTTCCTGACAAAGTGGATGATTTCACATCTTTTCCATGTTAAGCCATCTGCCAAATTTTTTTCGCCTATTGTCATCATTAAGGCCAGATCTACACAGTACTCAAGATATGATTCTTGCTCCAAATCAGAGCATTGCAAGTATTTGCTATTTTGATATTCCCCTTGCAAAAAAAATGGCAAAATTCCAGTTGCCTTACAAATCCTGGTTCCCAGAGCATTACATGGTGCCTGGATTAATAGCTGGGCTATAATATCACTAGCTCATCACCTCCCTATTAACCAGAATATGATGGATATCCAAACAATCAAGGTATGATTCAGGTACTGTATCGTCGGAAATGCGCACTACTAAAGACTGGCCATGCACATACTTAACTATGAGGCTTCACCCTTCGTACTACAGTAGATGAAATTCACACAATGCGACTTTGAACATTTTAGTAATCAGAAGTCAGTTTTTGTTCCATGAATTTTCTGGTCAAAGCTGTGCAAGTAATTGGATGGGGAAAACAAAAACTAATGATATTAAGAGATATCCTTATTCAGAAGGTTTAAAAAGCTAAATGGCTTGTCTAACATCAATCTGGATCTTATTCAATAGTTACTTGATACTAGCAGAGAACGTAACAAACAGCAAACCTGCTTTCAAAACAAAACCTTAATTGCAGCAGTAACCGATGTTTGTGAATTACTTGAGCATTCATGAAATGACAGAAAAAGCACTCAGAACCACTTGCTCCAGCCAGCATGGAAACACTTTCTTTATGCCAAAGCAAGATTCTATAAAATGATTCCCCATAATAGATGATTTCAGAAGAGTTCCAATCAGGATCAATCTAAAAGGTCACTCAAGTGAGGCTTGATGGTACTGGAGTTAGAAGCAGCAAGAGACCAATGTAGGCTTCAAGAAGATAAGATTGGGAGGATAAAGAATAGTAAAGATGATATATCCCAGATAAAGAGGATCAGAAATACTCCAGAAAGAAATAATTCAGTATCATGAAACAGGAAGTGCAACATATAGGAGAATTTTAGCATATTCCATTAACACTCAACATCCAACTTTTGTGGCATTGCCTACAAAAAAGTTAGAAGCATTTAAGGAAACTTCATACTAAGAATACTACAATATTTGCATATCAAAAGGACAACTTAGTTGTAATACTGAAACAAATCTCAGGTCTGAGGCACACAGATAATCCAGGACCTGAAGCAGAGCTTTTTCAAAAATTTGCCTATAAATTAATGAATAAGTGGCACTCAAGTGTGAAACGTTGAAACTAATACTTCACTAATGTTAAGAAAATGTCACACCAATAAAGGAGTATAGTTTTTAACCAAACAACCTACACGTTAAGTCACAAGTAACTATGCACATAAAAACACTGATGTTTATTCACTTCTTTTCTGCTGAAAAATGCCAAGGAAATATTCTGACCACTAAACAGCTATTACAAATTCTACTGTATAATAACGGTGTTCTGATAAATTTGAAATCAAATTTTTAAAATCAACCTGTTCTGAATTGATACACATTGTGAAGGGGAGATCATGTCAAACAAATTTGATTGCTTTTTCAAGGAGGTAACTAGGTGCAATTGAGGTAGTCTACATGGGCTTCACTAAGGCTTTTGACAAGGTCTCACATGATAGACTGGTTAAGGTTCAAAAAGTCCATGGATCCAAGCCAATTTGGCTAATTAGATCCAAAACTGGTTTGGTGACAAGAAGAACCAAAAAGATAATTGAAGGGTGTTTTTGAGACTAGAAGCCTGCACCCTCAGCTGACAACTTGAGCATCAGAGATTGTGATAATACAGTTAACTACCAGCATTTTGTGTGTAATTTCTTCCAGTTTGCTATACATAAATGGCACGAAAAGTGATGGCGTCGTAAATAGCAAGGAGGAAAGCCTTAGACTACATGACGACAGACAGGCTAGTCAGATGGGCTGAGTAGTAAAATGGAGTTTAATCCTGAAAAGAAATGTGAAACTTTTGGGGAGAACTAACAAGGGAATAAACGTTGATTAACTGAACCCTAGGAAGTACAGAAAAATCAAAGGGAACTTGGTGCGCATGCCCATACATCCCTAGGAGGCAAGACAGGTACCCAAGGTGGGATACTTGCCTTTATTAGGCAAGACATTGATAAGACTGGGATTGCAATGAAGCTGTAAACAACATTGATTAGGCCACAGCTGGAGAACTGTGTACAGTTTACACCATAGGAAGAAGGAAACTGTACTAGAAAGGGTGCAGAGGAGATTCACCAGGATCATGCTTGGCCTGGAGTGAATAAGTTACAAGGAGAGACTGTTGGACTGGGGTTGCTTTTCTTAGAGCCAGATTGGAGGGGTACAAAGTTTGAGAGGCATAGATTGGGAGAAGCTTCTCTCAAGGTAGGAAGGTCACTAACCAGGGGTCAGAGTTCTAGGGTATGAAGAGGCAATTTAGAGATTTGAGGGAATAATCATCACTCAGAGGATTGTGGATACCTAGAATTCATTGCCCAGAAATGTAACAGAGGCAGGAGCCCTCAAGACACTGAGCAGCTATTTAGCTAAGCACTTTAAATGCCGTAGCACACAAGGATGTGGGACAAGTGCTGGAAAGTAAGATTAGAAAAGGTGGATGATTTATAATATGCACAGAAACGATGGGCCTAAGAGTCTTCTTCTGTGCTGTAAAATCTGACTCTTATAAAATATGACCTCTGAACTAGTTGGGTCTTGAACTGGTGCCTTCTGGCTCAGAGGGAGATAGTTCTTAAGGCACTGAGGTAGTCTATGTGCATATTTGTGATTATTCTTGCTGGGGTGAAAGAAATTAATTTCTGAAACTAGACTGTCTTGATTGCTTTATTTTGAGGCAGGTGCTGGTTCTAGAGAAAACTGATTTGTTCATGACTGGCAGCTTTTATTTGTGTCTATTAATTTACAATTGGCAACATATCTTGCATACACAAGGTGAAACAGCATGAATAAGTGATTATTTATGTTAGACAGACACTTGGTCTGTTTAATGCATTTTGAAAAAAAAGTGAGCCTCATTTGAAATTGTCTGGTAAACAAAAAAAACCAACAATACCTTACCTGTTCAACATTTTTCATCTGAAACTCTTGAATTTCTTGGTTTAAACTTCTATTTTCCTCCCTCAAGTTCTTGAAAGTGGAGTATAAAATACAAAAAAATGGGTTTAGTCAGATTAAGTATCCAATACAGCAGGGTAATGATCAGATTTCTGGGTTCAATCAATACAGATCTAATGACATTTTAAGAATATCCTTCAAATATAAAATGTTATTCTAAGACTGGTGCACTCAGCCCACATGCCACAGAAAGATGCAACAAAGTGAGTCTACTTCATTATACATTGCCATGTATTGCCAGTAAAGTCAGATTAAGCTATACAGCAAGATAGATTTGTGGCATCCCTCAAGCCACTTGATTTCATTTTTCAATGTCTTACTATTGTGAAGTTTTGCTAATTTGGAACATGATTATTTGAACCAAACAAATTTTTGGAGTGAGAAAGAATCTATGCTTAATTATTTCATTTACCAATAAGAGTGAAGGCAAAGACATCACAGCGCAAGGCAAATAAAGCACTCAAAATTAGAAATCTTTCATAAAACAATCTTTTCAATGACCCTGCTAAAAATGCAGGACAGGAGTAAGAAATATTTGCCTGGAAATGGTCAGCAAGTAGTATGAGCCAATTAGATCCTCCAGCCGGTTGGCTATTAAATAAGGTTAATGGCTAATCTACAACCTAATTTTCCCAGTGCCTCACATCCTTGAGGATATCTTTGGCTAATACAACCCGCTCTGCCCATATTTGATCCATATCACAGGAACTTCCGTACACACTTCAGTGGTTGGTGGGATCTGTGTAGTGCCTCATCTGAAAGCTGAGGGCTTGTAAAATACAAAAATACTCCCTGAAGGACGAATGACCATAAGCCCATAAAACAAAAGGAGCAGAATTACAGCATTTGGCCCAGACTCTATTCTGCCATTCGATCCTGCCTGGACAAACGTATTTCTCCTGTCTTCTCCATAGGTTCTTGATTAGTAAGAGGATCAAGGATTATCACATTGTGTGTTAAATATAATGTCTTTGCCCCAGAAGGCTGTGGAGGGTATGAGTTTCATAGATTCACTGCCTTCTGGCTGAAGAATTCCTCTCATCTCAGTTCTAAACAGATGACTCTTCACTGAGGCTGTGCCTTCGGGTTCTAGTCTCTCCTATGAAGACATCTTTTCCACGCCGAATCTATCTGGGCCTCTTAGTGTTCTAAGTTTAAATCAGATCCTCCCGTCATCCTTCTAAACTCAGAGTACAGACTTAGAGTCCTTAACCGATCATATGACAAGCCCTTCGCCCAGGACCATGGACCATGCTTGTAAACCTCCTCTGACACCAGCACATCCTTCCTTAAATACGAGACTCAAAACTGCTCACACCATTTCAAACATAGCCTGACCAGAGCATTTCACAGCCTCGGCAGTGAATCTCTGCTCTTGTATTCTAGCCCTCCTGAAAATAAATGCTAACATTGCATTTGCCTTTATAGCTGCCAAATGAAACAAGATGTCAACTAGGACTCCCGAGTTCCTTTGCACTTCAGATTTCTGAAGACTCTCCCCGTTTACAAAGTAGTCCATATCTTGATTTTTCCTCCCGAAGTGCGTAACCACTCACTTTCCCACATTGTATTCATTATGCTACTTCACTGCTCACTCTCCTAACCTGTTCAAGTCCTTATACAGCCTCCCCAATTCCTCAACACTATCTCCCTTCACTTGTATTTGTGTCATCTGCAAATTTAGCAACAATGCCCGAGTTATGCCTGGAGATAGTTAGCGTATAATGCGAATAGTTGTGGCCCTAAAACTGGCCCTTGTGGAACTCCACTAGTCATAAAATGCAGTGCAGAAAGAGGCCATTCAGCCCACTGAGTCTACACTGACAGTCCAAACAGCATCCCACCCAGACTCACTCATAACCACCAGCCCCACCACACCCACCCCATGGAGTGATTAGAACCCATGCCCAATTCATCTAACCTGCGCATCTTTGGATTAAGGGAGAAAGCTGGAGCACCCAGAGAAAACCCATGCAGATATATGGAGAATATGCAAACTCCACAGTGTCACCCAAGGAATCAAACTTAGGTCCCTGGTACTGAGAGACAGCAGTCCTAACCACTCTGCCACCCTTCAGGATAAGCTCATGCAGGTATTGGACAAGCCTGCACTCAAGCATTTTGTGAAATATTCACTGACTGCCATCCTAAGACACTGTTATCTCCACTCTCTGCCTTTTACCCGTCAGCTAATCCTCTATCCATGCCAATACCTTGCCCCTAACAGTGGGCTCTTATCTTATTCAGCAGCCTCCTGTGCTGCAACTTGTCAAAGGCCTTCTGGAAATCCAAATATAATCACATCCACTGGCTACTGTGTCCAACTTGCTCGCTGCCTCCTCAAAAAATAATTTTAACACATTCGTCAGACTCTACCTCCTTTGACGAAGCCATGCTAACTTAGCCCTATTTTACCATCCTCCAATCTTACCGTTTATGAAGGGCTCTAAAATCTTAACAAAGGCAGCGGACAGGTTAACTGACCTTTAATTTCCAATCTTCTGCCTCCCTCCCTTCGTGAACAGTGGTGCTGCATGAGCCATTTTCCAGTCCTCTAGGACCCTCCCTAATTCCAGTGATTCCCAGAAGATTACCACCAATGCCTCAATCATCTCCTCAGCTATTTCCTTCAGAACTCTGGGGTGTTGTCCAAACAGGATGGGACTAAATGTTCAAGACTCCACAAAAGGGACTGGACAAATAAATCTTCGACTTGGACTTCAGGGCTACTACTGAGCCAAAGCTGGCACCATTAGAGTGTGTTATGCTTAATAAAACTCATTGTATTTTTGGTAAGAAAAATAGTTCCGTCGCTCAGGTACAGTCGAGTTAAGCTATTCAGGACAATTAGAAGTTATTTTGAACAGGAGATAGCTCAACACAGCAGATAAAAGATGTATTAACTGCTTATTCAATAAACAGCATATTTTTCCACTACAAAGCAATTTCAAACAAACAGCCAGAACTATCTTCACTTGCCCTTTAATTGTTGGCTTCAACAGCAAAGTCAGATGCCTGGAAATTGTCTTACAAAATGTATTGGCACAGTGAATGTCTATCCTCTTGGTTGTTTCCCCACTATCTCTACCATTCCTCTACATTGTAAACCACCCCCCCCCCCCCCATTATACTTATGAACCTAGTCCAAATCACAAGAGGTGTCAATTTAATGACTGAAAACATTTCTTGCTACCATCCAAGCAAGCAAAGCCAACTAGGTCATATTGCCTTGAACAAGTGCTTAAAATACAGTTAAGTTTCTAAAAAAGACCCAGATGAAAGTTACAGCAAAGGATCTGGATTAAAATATTGGAACAGTTCAGATAATGAGACCTCATATACTGACTATTGTTCAAAGTAATCACTCATGAACTTTGTACTTTTATGATAAAAAAGGAGTCAGATTTCTTAAATACAGCTAAATTTGTTGCTTTCTACAATGGAAGATTTGAAGTGCTTGACATACCTCAATTTCTGCCGTTTTGTTTGCCATTTCAATCAGTCCAGTTTCTAACAGCTCTTCAACTGTTTTTATTTTTTCATCCCGTTCTTGCAGACTGGTTAAAAAGACATAAACTCATACAAGGGTAACAAAATGGTGATGGCTTAAACTGAACAGTCAAGGTGACTCACCCTTTTTGCATCTGTTCCAACATACATAAAGCTGAAGCCTGCGTACAAAAAGAGGTGCAACGTGAATTGGTATTAAGAATCTCTAAAATTGAAGCATTCCAAAATGTGTCATTACACTGATCAGTGTTCTCATGTGATGGGTAATTCATGAAAAATTTCCAATATTCTGGTCTCTTCCAACTAATTTGCACAATTCCATGCTGCATTATGGATAATTCGAATCATGTTACATACAGAAAAACCACACAGTCTATAAATCTCATTTCATCTATTCTGCAATAAAACATCTAATTTCAGCAATTTTAAATATAACTCCAAATTAACTTTGTTTCTCTAGCAATAAGAAAAAGCAGGAGAAAAAATAAAAACCAAAAGCTCCAGTTTAAAAAAACAAAATAACCTAAAATGAGGCATTTAGGACACAAAAGGCTCAAAAACTCCATTTCTTGCTCACTGTTACGTTTGAGAATATAAATAATAAACTAGTGAGAGACTGATCTTGTAACCAAAGCTTAGGGTTCGTCAACTACTTTCCTATCTTTAGGACATTGGGTTATCAGGATAATCTGGCAGATTTTAATTATTTATTGAATTTTCTATTTAAATTCAAACACTACGACGATACATTTCAAATTCAAATTACTGAAATGAAAAAGGTTAACTGAACTAATTAAAGAAAAAAACTGAAATAACAACTTCCAAGTAGTCAAACAAACATTCACCTCACCTGTTCAGATGTCTGAACTTGTAGCTTTTGCACTTCAGCTGTTAAGGTATTTTTCTCTTTTTGCAAACTCTAAAGTGTTAAAGAAAAGAGATGTGTATTCTTGGCTAATAAGCATATCAAGCGAGGGGGGAGGGGGTGCAAAAGGATGAAATTTTATTTTTCAAGAGACTAGTCAATGTTGGGCAGAGCAGATTATTTGACCGACAAATTACAAAATTACATGTGCAAACAAATTCCACTTACTTGCTCAACCTTAGTGTGCCCTATTCTCACAGGCTGCCAACTCCACTAAAATGATTCCTGAGTCAAGTGAACAATACCAAACTAATTTTCTCTTTATTCTTTTCATATTTATAGTAAAGCAAACATCAGAGTCAGAAAGACAACTTCACTACTCGAGCTATAAATATTTTCATGCAGTCACTTCCTTGCTAGACCTGTTCAGATCTTTATTCAACTAAAGCAATCAACTTAGTAAAATCATTGGTTATGAAGGAGCATTCAGCTTTTGTTTTAACAAGATATATCAAGGTACGCTCACCCTTGTCAAACCATAGGGCTGCTCTCCTTCGGAGGAACAACTGGTAGTGCTTGAAACCAAGCGTTAACATGCCTCAGGTAAGGGGAGAAATGGAAAAGATAGGACCTTCACAATAATCTCAGGTAAGGTCATGTCTTATTAAACTGGATTGAATTTTGAGGAGGTGACAAAGGTGATTGACGAGGGTAAAGCAGTGGATGTTGTTACATGGATTTTAGTAAGACTTTCAACAAGGTCTCTCATGGTTGGCTCATCCAGAAAATTAAGATGCATGGGATCCATGGTGAGTTGCCTACATGACGTCAGAACTGGCTTGCCCATAGGAAGCAACAAGAAAGAGAGAGAGAAAGAAAGAGAGAGAGAAAGAAAGAGAGAGAG